TAGCTCAGCTGTAAAGTGTCCCTAGATTCAATCCCTAGTACTGCAAAAAAATAAAGATGAAATCAGATAGAGGATGGGTAAATATTTATAATTGGCTAAAAGATAGGTAAGTATTTGGTAAACACAACAAAATATTAACTGTGGGATAAAGGTGATGGGCTTACGGGTATTTATAATTTTTTTTGACATTTTTAATATATGAAAAATGTCCATAAAAAACAAATGTTGGGAGAAGGGAAGTGCATCTTCTAACTCGTGTGTTTCTGGGCACATACCATTACTAAAGGAACCTTCATTATAAAGTTAATAGAAAAATAAAATCACAAAAAATAAGGGATACATAGCTACAACTACACTGTTGGTGGAAAAGGTAGAACCAAGAGTCAAGGATAATGCAGATTCACTAATAAACCTCAACATCACAGGCATATGCCATAATACAGAATGTCACAAAAATCTTTAAAACTTCATGATAATTTGCAGAATTAACATACCTGCTGAGAAAGAAAAAATTCTGCTTGTTTTTGAGATAGAGGTCCACTGCAAGATACCTCTTCTTCTCTGTAAAATAACAAAAATAGTAATAAATTAAACAAGAGTAAAAATGACATTTACAAAATCAAAGATTTTTGCATAAAGAGTCCAAAAACTTTAAAATAATTCCATCTTCTCAGACATGTAATCGAAAAATGATCCATCAATTCCACTTCCAGCTATACACCCAAAAGAACTGAAAGGAGGGACTCACGCAAGCAAATATTTGCACACCCAGGCTCATACTGGCATTATTCACTACAGTCAAAACATGGAGCCAACCCAAGTGTCCTATGACAGATAAACAAAATATAACATGTACACACAATGAAATGTTATTCAAATTCTGGCATGTGCCTCAACATGGATCGATGAAATAAATCAATCAAAAAAGACCAATCCAGCTGAAAGCAGTGACGTACACCTGTAATCCCAGCAGCTTGGGAGGCTGAGGCAGGAGAATCATGGTTCAAAGCCAGCCTCAGCAAAAGCGAGGTGGTTAGCAACTCAGTGAGACCCTGTCTCTAAATAAAATACAAAATATGGCTGGGGGATGTGGCTCAGTGGTCAACTGCCCCTGTATTTTTTTCCCCCAGTACCAAAAAAAAAAAGACGAATACTGTATGATTTCACTTACATGAGGTACATAGGATCATCAAAATAGTAAAAAGCAGAATAGTAGTTGCCAGGGACTTGGGGGGAAGGTGGAATGAAGGGTTATTATTTAATAGGTATAGGATTTACAAGATAAAAAGAGTTACAGAAGCTGGAAGTATAGCACGCATGAGGCCCAGGGTTCAACCCCAAAACCAAAAATCCAAATCATGGAGATGGATGTTGGCGATGGTTATACAAGTTAAATAAATGTACTTGATGTCAGTACACTTTTTACCACTTAAGATGGTCAAGATGGGGCTGGGGATGTGGCTCAAGCGGTAGGGCGCTAGCCTGGCATGCGTGCGGCCCGGGTTCGATCCTCAGCACCACATGCCAACAAAGACGTTGTGTCCGCCGAGTACTAAAAAATAAATATTAAAAATTCTCTCTCTCTCTCTCTCTTAAAAAAAAAGATGGTCAAGATGATGGGGCTCAGGTGGTGGCTCAGCAGTGAAGCGTTTGCCTAGCACGTGAGGGCCCTGGGTTTGATCCTCAATACCACATAAAAAAACAAAATTTAAAAAAGGTATTGTACCCAACTACAAATAAAAAATAAATATTTTTTTTAAAAAAGAAAGATGGTTAAGATGGTAAATTTTATGTCAGGTGTATTTTACAATAAAAATTTATTGGGGAAAAAAAAAAGTGATGTTGAATGACCTGCCAAAGCTCATACAAGATAATCATATAGAAATAACAGATCTAAATTCTACACAGCTTCCTTTCTAAAATGCAAATCTACCGTATCACCTGTGATGTAAAGCCATTCAGGAATTTCCCACCACCTTGCAAACTGAAGCTTAGCCAGGGAAGAGTGGTGCATTAGGTCCTGCCTCTCCCTCTTACCTACATTCTGCCCTTTACAGGCACCCCAGTGCAACAAGACACTGCCACTGCTTCCTCAGCCTCAGAGCTCTTCTCCCAACCACTGTTGTACTTCATACATCATCCATCATTCAGGACTAACTCAAAGGTCATATCCTCCAGGAATTCTTTCTACCATCCCTCACTTGAGCTCCTACCTCTCCTAGTGATGGCCATCATGCCACCTATGCTTCACTACCATGGCTGTTCCTCACCTGTGCTGCAGTCAAACACCCAGTACACTCTGTGCCTCCATACACTTCAGGCACTCAATGTTTGGGAAATGAATGAATAAAGTTTGTAACTCCTTGCTAGAGAGACGAGATGGTTCTACAATAAAAAGAAGGAAAGAGGCCTTTTCTTGGAAATCACCATTTGTTAGCATTTTAGATTACACAGAACAGATAAACAAGAAGTATACTATTATAAATCTTGACTCCAGGACTGGGGATGTAGTTCAGTGGTAGAGCACCTTCCTATCACACACAAGAACCTGGTTTCAATCCTCAGCCATGAAAAACCAAACAAACAAAACAAAAAACATCTAGACTTTTTAAAAAAAAATCCATATTTGCACAAATAAAAAAATTTCATATTGAAAGCAAAGTATGAAAAATATCCCTTTGTGGGGCTGGGAATGTGGCTCAGGCGGTAGCGCACTCGTCTGGCATGCGTGCGGCCTGGGTTCGATCCTCAGCACCACATACCAACAAAGATGTTTTGTCCGCCGAGAACTAAAAAATAAATATTAAAAAAAAAAAAAAGAAAGAAAAATATCCCTTTGCCACATGACTCTGAAGAACTGTTTCTCTGTACAGGATTACATAAGAAAAAAAAAAAAAAAACAGGCTGGGTGTGTTGCCACACACCTGTAATCACAGCAATTTGGGAGGCTGAGGCAGGAGGATCCCAAGTTCAAAGTCAGCCTCAGCAACTTAGTGAGGCCCTAAACAATTTATTGAGACCCTGTCTCAAAACAAAAAATAAAAAGGACTGAAGATGTAGCGCAGTGGTATAGCACCCTTGGCTTCATTCTCCAGCACAAAAACAAAAACAAAATCTCCAATGCTCAGGTTGTACTGTCCTCCATTGCATCCATGTCAGTTTGTCCCTGTGTTGGGACACCTAGCTCCCAATGTTAAGAGGTCCTCTCTACAGCTCCCCTAACCCAGTCACTCTATATCCCTGTCTCCCATTTCATTTTTTCACTGCGTTGACCCTCTGTGAAACTATATATAGTTTATACTCTATTATATACCATATTTATACTCTATTATCTGTTCAATTCCACATAACTACATAAGGAGAGGGACTTTCTCTCTTTGCAGACACACAGCATCTAGCACAGTGCCCCACAATGCCTTCCAATAAATACTTGTTGAATACATTAACGAGTTTGGGAGACTGACATTAAGCCACTGATGAAATACTAGAGAATTCCTACATTTGTGAGGCTCTTGTAAAAACCCACAGAAGAGGTGGCTGGACTAGCCTGCAGCCTACCAACCTTCATGACAAGCTCATGTGGTGTAACCCCACAGGTCTCTTCTAGTGCAGTATGCAAGAACTGCAGCATAGTAATAGCAACCCACAAAACACACACACTCACTCTCAGGCTATTTCTTCCATAAATGGATTTTCAAGACATTTGGTAAACATTTATTGACTGAATATTTATCTCCTCACTGCTAAACTAACAGTTGTATTCTCATTTTCAAACAGGAATAATTTCATTGTGAAATGGGAAATCAGCAAGCTATGCAATATTACTTAATGTGCATATTTTTTACCTTTTTAACTTGAATACAAATTTCTAAAGCAAGAAAAATTATTTCCCTGAAGAGCGTTAAAAATATTCTAATAACTATAAGAACAAGAGGGAAGGAAGGAAGGAAGGAAAGACTTTCTCAAAATGCAATAAAACATTAGAAAAGATTACAAAAGGGCTAGAGCACTTACCTGGTACACAGGAGGCATTGGGTTCAATTCCCAGCACAAAAAAAAAAAAAAAAAAAAAATAGGAAAATGAAAAAATTGAAATCTTCCTTTTCATACAGTTAAAAAAAATTTTCTAGGGGCTGGGGTTGTGGCTTAGCAGTAGAGCACTCGTCTAGCGCAGCAAGGCCCTGGATTCGATCCTCAGCACCACATATAAATAAATAAATTAAATAAAGGTATTGTGTCCAACTACAACTAAAAAATTAATATTAAAAAGAGGCTTTAAAAAAATTCTCTAGCAAAATAATGTTTTGGACAAAGAACAGTACTTGTATTTATA